TAGGTTAAAATTTACTCGAGTAAAAGTAAAAATTACATATTTCAAAAACTACTCAGAAAATTACAAATTACTCATAAAAAGTTATCAATTACAGTAACTTGAGTAAATGTAATTCATTACTTTCCAAACTTCAGTTTCTGCACTGGAAAACGACCCAGAAATAAGTAAAAAGTTCTTAAATTAAGTGTATTAACCTTAATTTGAGCAGGTAAATGAGATCATTTGCCAATGGAATGAGTATTTTTACTCTTAAAATTAGATATTTAGATAAAAGGCTCTTGAAATAAGTCAATGCAATTGTGTTTTCTTATTTTAAGTGTAAATAGTCAAAATGTCTCCTTTACCTCCTCAATTCAAGAACAAATTCACTTATTTTAAGAAAAAATGACTTATCTAGATTTCAACTTTTTCCAGTGCAGCTGGAGTCGTTTCCGGATCCAGTAATTTTTTTAGTTTCCAGTTTTCTGTTACATCTCTTGCTGTGCTTTGTGTCACCACTCCTGTAAACCGATCCAGAAGAGAAGGGAAGGGTTCGCCTACTCCCCACCTGACCAGCTCTGCATCATTAATGATCATGTATCATTGATGGTGTTCTCTGAATGAAGCGCAGCCTCCTCCAAACTGTTCATCACGCTCCCGTCCTCAGGGCTCTATCTTCAGCTGAGAGCTTCCATCCAGGTGAAACGTCCCAGATGGTCGTACCCGGTGGAGCTGCTCCCCCCATGACTGTCATCGGCTTGGCCGTTAACCGGCTGTGGCCGGTTGGATCCGTCCAGAGGAGATCCCAGCTGGTGTCTGGCTCTGTGAGGCCGGCGCGCAGGAGCAGAGCCCCTCTGAGGCTGCCCTCTCTGGAGGCTGCAGCCAAAGGACCGGGCAGGGGGACCGGCACGGACCGCCTCAGGTAAAAACACTGGAAAAAATCAAAATCTAGATAAGTCATTTTATCTTAAAATAAGTGCATTTGTTCTTGGATTGAGGAGGTTAAAGCATCACTTTACCAACGGAACAAGACTATTTATATTAAAAAATAAGACAACACAATTGCATTGTCTTATTTCAAGTGCATTTTATCTAATTATTTTATTTTAAGAGGGAAGATACTCATTCCATCGACAAGCCATCTCATTTTCCTACTCAAATTAGGGGTAAATACACTTCATTTAAGAAAGTTTTACTTATTTCTAGATTGTTTTTTCAGTGAAATAGCTGCTGCCATCTGGAACAAGTGAAAACCTGCAGTTTATGGAATAAAATCCATAACTATCTCTAATACATTTAAATCCTGGGATCTAACAGCTTATTGGAGTTAATCTTATTTATTCAGAAATGGCAAAAAAGGCTCTTATTGAATTAAAGACCTTCTGCTAAAATGTAAATCTAAAAAAGTTATTTTTTTCTTGAAATAAATACATTTTCCTTGAATTAAATAGGTAAGTGAGACACTGCCGATGTAATAAGACAATTTACATTTAAAATAAGAAAAAAACAACCTCACACTGTAAAAAAATCTAAATCTAGATAAGTTGTTTTTACTTAAAATAAGTTTTTAGTCATTTATAAATTT